GTTTCCCCCATCCCCTGGCAGGGACCCCAATGGCTTCGCTGACTGGACCTTCTCCACGGTGCGCTGCTGGGGCGAGGAGGCTCAGGGCACCTACAGGCTGCTCATCAGGGACATYGGTGAGTCCTGCCTTGCAGGGACCCTGTGCCCTGTCCCAGCAGCTGCCAGCTCGTCCCCGGGGCAGTGGCAGGCTGGCTCCAGGGAGTTCCCCACTGCACCAACCTCCTTCCTCCCCAGGRGATGAGAGCCTGCGGCCCGGCACCTTGAGGCAGTGGCAGCTGACCCTGTACGGCTCCTCGTGGTCCCCAGCGGAGATGAAGGAGCGGCAGAGGTAGGACACGACATCCCCAGCTCGGTGGGGAGCGGGGACAGGGAGGCTGAGGGGTTTTTGGGTTGGAGCAGTGTTGCTGCCAGGTGAGCCTGGGGCTGCCCTGACACCTCACAGGACAGCTGTGGGCTGCACAACACAGCTCTGGGGGCTGAAGGAGACACTCCAGAGCCTCTGTGGGTGTTTTGGAGCCTCCCTGGAGCATCCCCTGCCCATGGGACCCTCACAGGGCACCTCTGTCCCCAGGCTGCTGGAGGAAGCCATGAGTGGGCAGTACCTGAGCGGCGATTTCTCGCTGCCCTGTCCCCCAGGGCTGGACATCCCCGAGGAGCAGCACTACACCATCACAGCCAACACCCTCAAGGTGAGCCTGCTGTGGGCTGGGGATCCCTGCATCATCCCCCAGGCTGAGCTGGAAGGACAGGACCCCGCTCAGGACTGTCCCCTCTGCTGGGACAGGGCAGGGCTCTGAAGGGGTGGAGGCATTTCATCTCAAGGGCTTTCCCTCTGCAGACCCTGCTGCTGCTGGGGTGCTTTGCCGTGTTCTGGACTTTCTACTACATGCTGGAGGTGTGCCTGACGAGGAACGAGGTGGGGCTGGACGTGGCGTGCTCCGGCYCCAGCAGCTGCCGCTGGTACCCCCAGGGAGGGAAGCACCGGGCACTGGAGAACGGCCTGGAGATGGAATCGGTGCCTCTGTACCGGGAGAAGGACGTGGAGGAGGCTGAGATGGAGTGTGAGCACCTGGAGCCTGTCCGGGATGGGGAGGAGGGGTCCTGGACCCCYGCCCACCCCAAACCCCTCAGCAATGGCAGAGCTGTGAGCTTCCATGAGGCAGCACCCACTGGAAAAGGGTACCTGGGCCGGGAGGCATCGAYGGAGCTCCTCGGGGAGGACAGGGAGCTGCAGCCCTGCTGACCATAGCTGGACTGGGCTGGGCTGGGCCCTCCCTCGGTACGACCACGGGCAGCAGGAACTCATTTTGAGCCCCTGGGACCATTGCCACCGTGAGACCATGGGCAGCACGGACTCACTGAGCCCCTGGGGATCATTGCCACCGTG